AAGATAGTTCTATAATAAAAAACATATATCCTATTGAAGTTAATAGAAAAACCAATTTTAGTAGAAAATAACAATATTAATCTAGCCATATATTTAAATTATAATCAATTTATTAATATTTTATTAACTATAAGTAAAATTCTAATAGCAATTAAGAATTATATTTATATTATACTTTTGTAAGAGTTTAAATGTATTGTAACAATTTAAACAATAAATTGTATTTAGTTAAGAAAGAAAATTACAAAAAAATACAAGTTTAAAAGAGATAATTATTTATTAACTCAAAAATAAAAATATAATTTAAGTTATTACAGAAATAAAAAAATCTTCTTTAAATAACTATTTTTTGTTATATAAATAATTTATATAAATATAGACTTGTGGGTCTATAATATAGTGATTAGCACTTCACAGGTCAGATCACAAGATACCAGTTCAATCCCAGGTGAAGGTGATTGAATAGTTTCATATAGTATTTGGCATCATAATCTGTTATGTGCTGTTTTTTATATGAAGCTGTTTCACACGCTGATTCAGTGAATGTTGAGATTATGTTTTCCAAAAAAGATGTTGTGTAGCATTGATCATCCGGTTGGTGTTACAATGATTGACATTGTGCTTGATACATTTTCCAGTTCCACATTGGTTGCTTCCTTTTCTATAGTTTACAAAACTATAAAAGAAAAAACCTGTTGACTCCATTAGGCAACTAACAATCACTTTCAGGTTAAAACCCTACAGGACATGCTTTGAAATTCATGGTCACTTTACAGGAGTTGCACCCTGCTTGATATTTGTATCCCTAGATTTGGCAGCTTAAGCCAACCAAGAGACCTATTGGAGTGTCTACTAGGAGAGTAAAGAGTAATCCTTAAGGAGTCCTGCCCCACTTGGCCAGCAACTGAACCCCCAGATTTGATAGTGTGTGCCAACTGTAAGAACTTTTGAAGCATTTATTAGAAAGTGTAGAGAAGTAAGCTTCATGATATCAAGTATATGAGTTGTCAAGTTGAGTGGTAGGGGACCCTAGTGATAGCTAACAGGTAAAAAACAAAACAAAAAGTCATCCAAAGTCTACACTCGAATACGAACCCACCTCCATGATATAAGTTGGCACTTGGGTTAGAATAAGAGTGGTGTGTCAGTTAAATATAAACTGTTCATGTAATGGTTAATTGTAATCTACAAATTTATAATAAAAATCCTCATGTGTATCACACCTTAGCCCTTAAAAAAAATAATAATAATAATTTATATAAATATATAAATAGAAATACATATTTTAAATACATAGGTTCTTATTGGTTTTTTTAAAAAATCTTATGTTTTATAAATATAAAATAGATAAAAATCATAATATAATAAATGTTATACATGCTTAATAATAATATTTTGTTTTCTAAATAAGTATAAATATAATAAATACAATAATTAATAATAATTAATAATAAATAATGATAGTCTAAATGTAGGCTGGTAATGATTTTTCTTAAGGCCAAGGAGTGGTCTTAGAAAACGTACGATTTTATTATTCCCTACAATTACACTTAGAGAGTTAAGATTTGAAAAGTCTAAGATAGTTAATATTACGCAGTAATAGCTTAATGAATCAATTTCCTTGTAGTGAAATAGTTAGTAAATAGTTAAATTATATAGGTAACATGATGGTCTTGGTATTAAGAATTCAAGAATCATGTACAAATCTAAAATAACTTGTCGACAGGCGTTCTATAATAAAACACAGTTTAGCTCTAATATAAAATCCCAGGATTTAATGTACTATTGTTTTATTTGTACAAAATTCAATAATTAATAAACACAACGATTGCAGTCTGATTAGAGGCAAAAAAAAAATAACAATTAATAATAAATCATTAATAATTTTCAAAAAAGTTTCATATTATTATAATAGATTCTAAAAATTCTAAAATATTTTTTTTGCAAATATATATTAAATGCAAACTTTATTTAAATAAAAATATTTATTGTTATTATATTAACAATCTTTATCTAAGTAAATTAATTGTAGTCTATTATATTGTAAGTGATATATGAAAATTTAAAAACTCCTTATAGAGAAAAAAAAAAAAACAAATAAAAGTTAGCTATTAGTTGTTCTATTAATTACTTATGTATACTTATTAAGTAATAATAATAATAATAAGTATGATAAGATAAAAATAGTCGAGTTTTAATATATACTGGATCCAGTAATCAGTTTTTGTTATTGTAATACAGTTTATAGATTTTATTTATATTGAAAGTCTTGGATTCAATAAGGTACAATTTTCTTATGTTTATTTTTTGAAAAAGGTAGGTTGATTACAGTTTTTTGAATTTATTAAGAATTAGTAAGATAAGACAAGGAGACAACTTTATAAAAGATTTTTATAAAATATATAGTAGTATTGATAAAATCAAAGTCCTTAAAGAGTATTTATTCAAAAGCACACCTTTAATTACATATTTTAAACAGGACCAGTGTTTAATTATACAAAATCTTATATACAGTTTTTTTTATTAAAATTAATAATTTTATTTATTGTTATAATAATAATAATATAGTAATAATTATTTTTTTATTAAGCACAAAAAATTATTTAATAATTAACTTATCTTAAAATTTAATTAAATTTACTAAAAAATATAAATTTTATATTAAACATAAAGTTTTAAAGATTTTAAAAATTTTTGTAAAAAAATCTAATTAGGCTGCATAAAGATATAACCTCTGGTCTTCCTGACGATCGCAGGCTGAAAACAGGTCAAAGCAAGGAAGTTTGCATAAGGAAAAACTTCTGATCTAACTCTGGTATAAGCCTACAACCCCAACTGGCACGACAGACTTCGTAGCACCACTACCTATTCAGGTTGAATGGCTTTCTAAATAAGTTGTATCCAATCAGCTAACTTTCCCAAACTGGCACAGCAGACTCTGTATAATGCAGGTTAAATCTCACTACCCTATTTAATGTTAGTACAATTCAGATTGGTGACCCAATTGGGAGAGAATAGGATCCCAAGCCAAAAAGGTGACCACTAGAAAGGTTTATCAACTGTTGGACAGGATTTTCCTTACCTTATATTTATAAATAGGGGTTATAGTATAAACCAGGATATGGACTCACCTACTTGGTGTAAAAAGTTGATATTCTGATAAAAAGAAGTAGGTAGCTTGAGTTAATATTAGCAATATGTTAATAGACTATTCACGTGTAGACAATTGTAATCTTAAGTGATCTCACAATAAAGTATATGCATGTATCGCAACTTGGCCCCTTAAAAAAAAAATTTTTTTTATAAAAAAAAAAAAACTTACACCCGTTCACTGCTGATTTTTTAAAAATTTTCTTTTTAGGAAATCTTATCTCAAGAAGCATTTTTTTCTCTTTATTCTCTAAGGCAAATAAGCTTTAAACCCAAAGAACATAAAGACTTTAAGAAATACTGTTGCATTGGGATGGGACCTCTGGTCAAGATTTAAGCAAGTTGAATATCTTCCTTAGCTCTTGGTTGCATGGAGAAAGGCCTGTGGCAATCTTATTTCATAATTTTTTGTCTTTAGGTATCTTTTCTTTTATAATTATGATAACTGTTTTTCCTTTCATATTTTACTCTCTACAACACAAACTCGATTCTAACAACATATTCAAACAAAATTATTGGGTCTAATATTTGTCTTAACACAACCTTTGAAAATTTACTATTTCTCTTCTTTATCTTAAAACAATATCACATATTACTTCTTCAATATTCTATAATTCTCAAATCTACTCAAAAACTGTAATCAGTTTCACCCTATTCAAAGATCTACACTCAACAAATGATCAATAAAACATCTTTACTTCTTAATAACAACATCAAACCTGTATAAACTCATTTATAACTGATTTCTTATCAAAAATTCACACACCCAATAACAACTTCTCTATCAAAATACTTACACATTAACAATAACAATAACAACAATCACAATTGACTGACACATACTGGATTGGAAGAGCATATAACTGTGCTCTGCGCAGATTTCAGTAATCTTCAATTAAAAAAACACCAAAATAACACAACAAGATTGAAGCAGGCTCTATACCTAACTCACTATTATCTCAACTATACCACCAATCTACTAGAGCTCCGAAAAAGTACCGAACTGGTATCAAACTGGTATCAAAATGGTACTGATCTATAGTAAATTTAATATATGGGTTGTGACCTACTCATATGATTTGATAGTAAATTTAAGTATCGAAGTGATATCGAAATGGTATCAAAGTGGTATCATTAGGAGCCCTAGGTATGGATAACAGCAGAGAATACCTAGCCCCTACAAAACTGAAACAATATCAATTAGAAGAAGGAAACAGAGTAATCATTAGGAATATATACTTTCAGCAAGCAAAAAAGCAATTAGAGTCACTCTGAAAATACCATGGATATCTGGCCAGTTGAAATGTGGCAGACAGCAATAATAACTTACAATGAAGAGAAAGATTCTCCCAAAATGAGAGAAAAAAAGAAACTGGCAAGAAGATCAAAATATGTATTTAAACTGGCAGATTTGCCAGCAGGCACCACAGCTTATGACCTAGAAGAGATAGCAAGAGAAACAAACAGAAAAACCCTATATATTGCAAAAACAGGCAGATACTTTAGGGAAAGATTCACATATGTGGCTTTTGAAATGGAGGACCAATTAAAAGTAGCTAAAATCCAAACGTTTAAATTGGATAGGATGATGATCAAATTTGAAGACCAATTTGAGAAACTGTTATAAGTGTGGACAGAGTGGGCACATTGCCTTCTAGTGTGAGGAGGTAAAAGTGCAAAGAAACAAAGCACTAGCTCAAGCAAGATTCACATCAATCCAGTCAGATCAAGATTAGTCTACAACAAGAAGAGAAGAGGTGAACAAGAAGAGATAAGAGAAAGACTGAACAAGTTAGAAGAAATAATTAAAAACATGGAAACAAAAATTAATATACTATGGAATTAGTGGAATGAGCTGCAAGAGACCAGATAAGCAACAAACACAATATCAAGATATGGAAGAAGTAATCATGGAAGAGAAAAAAACCTTTTTGACAACATACAAGGTAATTAACAAGCAGCAAAAAGACAAGACAAACTAGAAAGACAAATGGAACAGATGGGAAAGATATTAAACAAACTCTTAGAAAATGGTCATCTATCACCTAGTAAGAAGAGACAACAACATGAAAGGCAACAAATCCAAACAAGTATGACAGCACACTATAAGGATAAATATAATAACCCAAAAATATTAATATATATAAAGAAAAAAGAACCAATACAGAGAATATTAAAATTATAACAATAAACATGAATGGCTTGAATGAAGAGTTTAAGAAACAATATAAATATAATAGGAATATCTGATACAAAATTCAAAAAAGCAACTAACAAGAAAACAATGGGAGACAAAAAATACAAGACTTATAGGGCAAACACAGAAAAACAATCTAGAGGAGTGGGGTTAATTATTCAAAGAGACTGGGCCAAACACATTAGAAAAATAACAAGATGGCAAGGAAGAATCTTGGCTATGGAACTAATCTTTAAAGAGAGGCGAAAAATAGGAGTGATACAGGTATATGTACCATCACAATTAGGTTAGGAGAGAAAAGAGATGATAGCAGAAATGAGAAAAATCTTGATAGAATGGAGGAAAAAACAAGTAATGGGAATAATAGTAATGGGAGGTATGAATATGACAACAAAAGACAAGGTGGACAGAACAGCAGGGAACAAATCAAAGGAAAAAAAGAAATTAATTGAAATGCTCAAGAAATTCAATCGATATATTATTTCAGACAACATAACAAAAATACAAGCAAATACATATGGGCAAAGAATTAAAAAACAGAATAGACATGATATGACTTTCAGAAGATATAAGAGAACTATGCAAGGCCTCATTCATATTGATATTAAACAATGTTTGAATACAGATCACAAGGCAGTGAATATAGAGATAGACATAAAATCTTTTAAGAACATCTGTTTTTTAGATTGGCAAAGGGATCAATGGAAAGAGTTTTTTAATAATTTAATTTATCAATATCTTTTTTTTCTTTATAATACTGATAATTTTACTTTAAATATATTTTTTGTTTTTTTAGTTTTCTTAATAAATATATATATATTTTTTTTGTTTAAAATTTTTTAAAAATAAAAACTCTCTCCTGATCACATCTGTTTTGTTAAAAATTTTCATTTTATGGTAATTTTAAGCAAGAAAAAATGGTTTACTCTTTATTGCAAGTGAGCCCCAGCTCAAGAACTCAAGAACCTTCAAGACAACTGGTGCAGTGGGATGGAACCTCTGGTTGAGGTCTATTCAAGTTTGAGAGTCGTGATTATTCTTCGGTTGCATGAGAAAAGGCCTGTAGCAATTCTCTTTTCTTCAGTTCTCTTTCATCCCTCCTTATCCTTATTATATCATAAAAACCATATACATTATTACCATCATACTTGCTAAATCAAACACCTTCCAAAACACATACTTAAACAGAGTTAGTAGGTCTACTGTTTGTTTCAAGTCAACCCTCATACACAATATTCTCACAGTAATATTTGCTGCACTATCTCAAAAGTTCAAAAATTTTTCAAACAAAAAACTGAAATCAGTTTACTCCCTTCAGATGATCAACATCCTCCAATCATCTAATCAGATTTTGCATAAAAATTAAAACAAAAACTGTGCCAGCTCAAACTGGTTTTGTGCCACAACAACAACTTCAACAACAAACAACATCACATGTACTCTACTTTCTATGATAACCAAAGAGCCAAAGAGATGGGACAATGAGCCTGTCCAGGGATTCTCTTGGGAAAATAATTGATTTTCTACTTATAGATCTTATAGTTTATTTGACAAAGTTTTAGTTTTAGTTACTTTTAATGTTTTTTTCTCAATTTCTTTTATTCAAAAAAAGATTTCACCAAACAACCTTTATAGTAGGTAGGCATAGCTGCTACTCCCATATTTGACATTTAATATTGCTTTTGAAATTTTTTATGATATTAATTAAATATGGTACAAAGTAGGCAAGCTAGCATTTAACTTGTTGTATGCAATGCACCCAAGAAATGTTGTTTCTTTCACAATGTATACCTTGATATATACAAATTAAATAAAGAAATGATGTTTACCTACTGGGATAACCCCCAAAAAAATTTTTTTAAAAAAATATATTTACTACAATAAATAATAAACCAATTTGTATAGCCATATTTTTAATATATTACTATTGATTATATAACATTTAATATTTACTCTATTAATAAAGATTATAAGAAATATTTTATTTTAATATCAAAAATAATAATAATAATTAAATTATTATATATTTTATATTAAGATTAAATAATAAAAAAACTCTTTCCACTTAACACCAAAATTACTAAAAAAAAATTTTTTTTTTTAGGAAATTCCAAGAAAAAAGATCACCAACACATCCAACTTTCAAGAGCCAAAAGATATCCAAAGAAACAAATAATCCATACTTCTCAGCAACAAAATAGGTAACTTCTGCTTTAAAAACTAACTATTTTTTATTTTTTTAGAAAAACAAGAAACAAAATGAACAATTTACAGTAAGATCAGGAAAAAGAAAACTCAGCATCAACCTTACAAAGCTGTCAGCCAGTCATGTACCAGATTAATCACCTCCCTAGACACAACAGGACTTTGTGTTAGCCAGATTACATCTGGTAAATCAAATAACCTCAAATACCAACACAAAGTCAAAGGGATACCAGAGTTTTCTCTTCAAAATCTTGGATAAAAGAGCAAAACAAAACATGTATATCTATTATTTCTCCAGATCTCACATAGCATGAATAATTCTTCTCCAGTTTCAAAAAAAACCAGAAACAGCTTTCCCTCCAAAGGATCAACAGTAACACAAACGTGAACACTTTCCAACTCAAATAGGCCTATCCTCAAAATAAGCAAAACACATCGGAATCCAAAAGACAAACACATGTCAAACAAGATTCTGATCCAAGCCAAAGCACATAAATTCTAAAACTAACATATGAAAAACACAACACATGTACAAGGCATCTATTCAAAAACATGTCACCTAACAATAAAACTTCCAAGTTAGGGAATAACAAATCAACTCAAAAACAATTATTGTCTCATTAGACAAGACACTTTCCAAAAAGAAAAGCAAACACAAACAATCCAACTGATTTGTTAACAAAGACAAACTCTATACAAATATAAAACACAAATCAAAACACATGTAAATATCCAAAAACAAGAAAACACAATAACAGCAAACACATCAACCACACTTATAGATCAGATTATATAACATCTTCCAATATTAAATGACAATCACAGTGAAGAGAATAGCCATTGGTTGCATATCCTGATAGAAGATGGATCTACTAACACAGTCTCAGAGCTTTCAGAATTGGATGCCCTGATAAATATCACAATCATTAATGCAGTAACAGAAAAACTTCTAAACATTAATTCTTATACAGCTATCAAATGGACATTGGCAAAGAAATATATCAAACAGATATGAAAATACAATCAACAAGACATGAAGATCTTGAATGGATTTCTAATTCAAGACTCACAACAGGTTGCCCCACTGGTAAACATTATTCACACAATACACAACGCTTCTTAACAACAAGGAGAAATTTTAAGGACTAAAGACAACTTGTCTGAAAATTATATTATTCAAGAAAACATCATGGAGCAAGCAAACAAAGAAGAACAAATTCCAGAAATAATTATAAATAAATCTGCTTCAGAAAATGTAACCAAGAAAGAAGAAATACAGATTCCTGAAATAATCGTGGAAGAACGGCTTTTCTCAAATGAAAGTTCAGATGTGCACACACTTATTCCCAACACAATGCAAGAAAGACATCAGAACTCTTGAAGACTAACAGACACTTCTAACCAACAAATCCCTACTATATTTGCAAAAAAGGCTTATATAATGCATGCAGGAACTTTAATGGCTAATACATCAGGAGAAAATCAAGCAGATCAAATTAAATACATAAAAATACTCTCAAACTCTTCACCAGTAAACACTATCTTATCCAACCACTCTTATTCAATGGAAATGGCTGATATGCAATCCATTTTCAACATGAAAAAGACTGAACAACATGCATAAGCAAATTCAAAAACAAGGAAGACTTTTAACCCATTGCAATACAAGACTCTGACTTCACTCAAGATAACAAGTCCAAAATAAATCCAAAGACTCCAAACACAACATATCTAAAGAAAAATGAAGTTATAAGATTGACAATCCATTCAATCTAACAAACAAACAAAGCAGAGTCCAACTTCATATCAAATGCAACTTACTCCCTCAAATCAGAGAAAGAATCAGTTACAACAAATAGCCAATATCGAAGTACCTATAGAACATGAAGGAATACAAGTACTGGCAATAGGAAGAAAAAAATAGATAATTCTTTTCTTTAACATGGTAACTGATGCTCACAAATGCAAGCAAAAGTTTTTAAACCATATACAACTACAAGATATAATTCTTAATATAAGTAAGGACACCAACTCAGATATTGACTCCTCATCAGAAAGTTCAATCACCTTATCAACTACTGATTCAATGTCAAACCAATATATTCTCATGGATATCCCAGTATATATCTCTTCCAATAAAATACAAAGTATCCTCAACAAATATAGAAAAATCAAAACCCTAAAAACAATTAAAGTAAACAACAACTACAACAGCACCACATTCTCCTATCAATCCACAGAAACAGACTTGATCTTCTTAAAATAAAATGAGATTACAACTAGACTATATGGCATTGGAAAATCAATGAATAATAGTGCTATAAAGCATTTAAAGGCCAAAACAGTATATATTTCACTTAATATCAAAACTGAAAAAAGAAGAAATTTTGCTATTATAAGCTTTGAAGATTCAGATGACTTAAACAAAGCCATAACATCACATGTGGAATTATTTGGCTGCAAGACTTGGTGAAGCACCAAAGATAATGCCAAGAAAATACAAAAACACCAGGTCAAAGTTCAAAAAACTCAAATACAAGACTTTAAGATTGACAATAGAACTCAGTCCGACAATTCAAATGAAAGTAGTTTCTCTTCAATTGTAAAAGACTAGAAAGTCCAAAGCTATCAAGCACAAACAAGCCAATACTAAACAGATGTCTTCTAACTCCAGTATACTAGAACCATCAAACT